CTCACCCAGCAGCCCTGCCACCTCATATGCTTTCTTCTGCTCGATGGTCTCATAGTTCAAGGCTTCAAAGAAAACGTCCAGCACCAGCACATTGTCCCTGGGGGGCGCCAGCGGGGCCGGGGCCGGACACAGACAGACAGACAGACAGGGGTGAGCCCAAGTGACCAGTGTGGTGACACCAGGGCCCCGCAGGGCTGGTGTGGGCACTGGGGGGCAGGCTGGGAGGAGCAAAAGGGGAGGTGCACCATGTGGGGCTGTGGTATGTTGAGGGGGTCACTCATAGGGGGCATGCTGTCCGCAGCAGGGGGGTGTACTGGGGGGTTGTGCTGTGCATGGGGGTGATGTCTGGGGGAGCTGTGTGCGGAGGGGCTGTCTGGGGGGCGCTGGGGGTGTGTGCTGCATGCGGGGGGGGGGACTCACAACATGTACTGCGTGCGGGGGGCTGTTTGGGGGGGTGCTGGGGGGGCGTGCTGCATGGCGGGGGGGGGGGGAGACTCACGAGATGTACTGCTCGCTCTTGTTGTACTTCTTGGCCAGGTACTTGGCCGAGGCCTTGCTGGGGATCTTGACCATGGAGAGCTCCTTGCCGTAGCGCACCATGTCGCAGGGCGTGCGGCACACGCAGAACTCGCTGTCCTTCTTCACCAGGAAGTCTGGAGTGCGAGGACGGGCGTGAGCCAAGAACAGCCCGACCTATGGGCCGGAGAGCGATGGGAACAGGGACGGGGACGGCCCGAGAGCTACGGGGATGGGATGGGGATGGGACGGAGAGCGATGGGGACAAGGCGTGAGCCAGCACTGCCCTGACGGGCCGGAGACCCACGGGGACGGGGACAGGACGGAGACCCACGGGAACGGGACGGAGAGACACAGGGATGGGGCGTGAGCCAGCAGCACCCTGATGGGCCGGAGATCCCCAGAAACTGGGCCCATACACAAGCCCTCGACTGCTTGAGCAACAGGGCCAAGGGGGTCCAGTCCCTCCCCTCTCAGGCAGCGACACGGGCTGGGGAGGAGACTCTGGAGGTTCCCCAGGGGTCTCCGGCCCTGCTCCCCATGTCCCCCAGGGGGCAGCCCCAGTGCCGGGGATGGGTTGAGCTGGAGCAGGGGTGTGGGTGTCAGGATCCTGGCCAGGTGTGGGAGGGGTGCAGGGGACGAGGCACGGCCCAAGGGACGGGCCGCGGCGGGTACATACCCAGGGCAGGGTCGGCGCACTCCTTGTACTGCTCTGGCGTGCACACGTTGGCGTTCCCTGGGGAAGGGGGCACAGGGTCACTCGGGGGCGTGGCGGGGGGTGGGGGGCTGCAGGAGCCATGTGGGCGGTCGGGGGCTGCTTCTCATTAGAGCCCCATGTCTGAGGCTTGGGGAAGGCCGAGCCCAGGAGCACTGGGGGGGCGCCCTCCTCCTCCTGCCCCCAGGACCAGCACTTCTCTCCCCAGCAGCCCCCTGCCCTCTCGTCCCCTCCCAGCTCCCACTTGCATGGGCCCCCCCAGTATGGGCCCTACCCACATCGCCCCTCCCCCAGCATGGGGTCTCCCTGCAGCCCCCCGCTCCCCCAGCACGGGACCTCCCCACAGCCCGGCCCGCACCCCTCACCGGGCATGTGCACCATGCGGCAGTTGCAGTTCTCAGCCAGGTAGCGGGTCTCGCAGTCCAGGCGGCAGGCCGTGATGCTGTAGCTGGTGAAGAAGTCGGATTCAATCGGGGTGGATTTGCAGTCCCCCCAGGGGGGCGGGAGGTAGACCAGCTATAACACACACAGGGTTAAGGAAAAGGCGGGGAGTGGCCAGGACCCCTGCCCCCCCGCCCCTCACCCCCGCCCCTGTGCTGTGATGTGACCCCCTCGCCCCCTCCCCTGCACTGCGATGTGACCCCCTCACCCCGCCTCTGTGCTGCGATGTGACCCCCCTGCCCCTCGCCTCTGCGCTGTGATGTGACCCCCCTGCGCCCTCGCCCCTGTGCTGTGATGTGACCCCCTCGCCTCTGCGCTGCGATGTGACCCCCCTCGCCCCTCGCCCCTGTGCTGTGATGTGACCCCCTCGCCCCTGCCCCTGCGCTGCGATGTGACCCCCTCGCCCCTGCCCCTGCGCTGCGATGTGACCCCCTCGCTCCTGCCCCTGTGCTGTGATGTGACCCCCCTGCCCCTGCCCCTGCCCCTGCGCTGCAATGTGACCCCCCCATCTGTACCATAGCAGCAGCAGGCCCCCCCCAGAATGGCAGCCGGGCATTTCACAGGCTGGCACGTGGGCACACGCAGCACGCATGGCACCACACTCACTTCTGCGCACACACGCTACAGGGCTGCAAATGCACACGCATTCGACATGCATGTGCAGACATGGCGCTGCAGGCCCCCATGCACACACAACGCGGCGAGCAGGGCATTGTGGGTAACGCCAAGGGGAACAACTGCTGGAGGAGGGCAGCAGAGAGGGACAGCACGAGGAGGGGGGCAAGGTGCTGCGTGCCCGTGTCCCGAGGCGGCTGAGCGGGGTGGCGCGGGGAGCAGGCCGGGTGCGTGCTGTACAGAGACAAGGGAAGCTGCTTCCCTTACAGTAACTGGCTCAGCGAGTCCTCGTCCGCATGGACCCCACTCGAGGCGCAGGTGCCTCGGGCGTGAGATCAGACTCTTTGGCCAGCAGAGTCCGGGGGGGCCACGCTGCACCCACACGTCCTACAGTCCCACCCCATCCCGCCGCTCCCTCACTACTCCCAATCCGGGCTCTGAGGAGGGGCTGCCTGCAGGGTGGCTGGTGGGATCCACACAGAGAAATCATCGCCAAGAACTGCAGAGCCTGTCACCCATCTCACTCCGGGGAGTCTCTGTCTCACCCAGCCCCCCCAGGGACACTCTCCCAGACCCCCCAGGGGCACTCACCCAGCACAGACCCTGGCGTGGAGTGCCAAACTGTATCCTACTGCCCCGCCGGCAGGTGTGTGACATACCTTATTGAAGGGAACCTCAGCTGTGCCTGGCCGAGCACTGAAGGATGAACACACCTGGTGTGTATGAGCAAGCGCTGTGGCCAGTCTGTACCTGATATCGGAGCAGGACATGGTGTCAGGAGTAAACTAAGAACAGCAACAGAAGGAACAACAACAAAGGTTGCAGGAGCTCATCAACATGCTACTCTTCAGTGCCCCAGACACCTTCAGCTTTGATAAACCTTCCCAATGGACAGACCAAAACCAATATTTCACAAGATTTTCCATTGCTACCAAGCTCCACAAGGAAACTGATCATATCCAGGTATCTTCTTTATTTTATGCTGTGGGGAAGCAAACAGAGCATCTCTTTAAATCCTTTGACTTTACTGACGATGGTGGCAGAGACGACTAGGAACGGGTTCTGGCTATGTTTGATGTCCACTTCATACCTCAGAGCAATGTGCTTGATGAAAGAGCATGTTTCCACCAGAGACTTCAAGAACCAGGGAAAATGCTGACAGTTTTATAAGAGCTCTGCATACATTGGCTGAAAACGGGGATTTTAGGAATGTAAACCATAAAAATAACAGAGACAGGCTGGTCATTGGGTTAACAGATAAAAACCTTTCACAGCAGCTGTAATTGAAGAGAGATTTAGCCCTAGCCACGGCTATCCAAAGAGCAAAGCATTCTGAGCTGGTGAGACACCAAAACCTAGGGCAACTCGAGAACCTTGGAAAACCTGAACCTAGCTTAGGGCTAGTCTACACCGGCCACACTAAAGCGCTACTGTGACGAACTGGGACTGTTCTTACTGTGGTGTGGGAATGCTGACAGGGGAGTGTGACTAGGATGGTCTGCATCGGGGGATGGGAGCCGGCCCAAGGGAACATACCTGAGCTTGTAACATGAGAACCCAGGAGGGGGTTGGAGGTCAGATGACTCCGGGGCCCGGGAAACTGAACAAAGGCTGTGGGAGGGGTCGCTGAAGGCAGAGTGCTGGAAGCAGGCTGGAAGGAGGCTGGAGAGATGGCTGGGAGGCAGAGATGGCTCTCGACCCCCCGAAGGGGGGTGGGCTGGCATCCCCTGGGACCCCAAGCTGGACCTAACTGAGGGGGGCCCTGTTGTCTGTGCCTGCAAGCCCTGTCTTGGACTGTGTTCCTGTCATCCAAATAAACCTTCTGCTTTACTGGCTGGGTGAGAGGCATGGTGAATCGCAGGAAGCCGGGGGTGCAGGGCCCTGAGTCCCCCAATACTCCGTGACACACCCGCTCCCTAGTGCCCCGACATCCCCCTCAGCCCCCATCCCCTCCCCCACCCGCTCCCTAGTGCCCCGACATCCCC